TTATGGGATTAGTATTACATTTCAAGGTAAAACAAATGAATTTGTATTGCTTGATAAAAACTATTAGCTTGTAAATTTTAAAAAGGTTTCTTTACCTCAATTAACTTAAAGTAATGGACCAATAAACCTATAAAAGATGCTTTCTTTACCTTGAGTCATGTTCCATTTGTACGGCTTTATAGTACAGAAATGCATGACTCTTAATCCTATTTTCTTATTTTCTCTAAGGAGATATCCATTTATAGGCACGAATCAGGATATGCAAAGCAACAGGAAAAAATACCTTTGAACTGTTTTATTCTTCATTTCTATCCTCAATTTACCCTCTCCTACATCTTACAAGATGGCACTGATCTGAGAAGATGAAGAAACCACCTACTGTCCGTCTGTAACTGTGATTGGCAGGAAGGCTGGCAGCTGGCCTAGGTAACTACATGAAGGATTTCTTCCCACTTTATCTCATAGCAAAGCACAGTGTCATATTCTGAGTCAGAGCCAGTCATTGCCTATTTTTTTTTTATTGCTATTTTTTAAAAATCTGTAAAGAAAGGGGAACTATCTGTGGTTCTTTAGCGCATCTGAGTGTGTTGTAAATCAGAGACCACAATGCTCAGTAAAGCTTACCTAATGATGGCCATGCACTGGAAATAGACTTCTACTGGTGCTAACCTTGGCTTTTTGATAGTAGACATCATTAATATAAGACTTGAGTCACACAAAATGAGGCAGTAAGGTGTGGGGAAAAAGATTTGAGATCAAGTCTTAGCTTTTCCACTTACTAGCTGTGTAGCTTTGGGCAAGTGCCATCTCTCTAAATTCAGCATTATTATCTTTGAAATGAAGACATGCCTTTCCTGAAGGGTGGCCGATAGGACTAGCAATAATGTCTACAAAGCACCTAAGTGTCTGCTGGGCCCTCCTTATGTCATAACCCTTATGGGAAGACTTATCCTATTACTTGTTCAAATACAGCCAATTTAAATATCAGAGATGTTCCCGTAAGAATCTTCCCTGTGTGCTTTACTGAAAATTTATTTGTTGCCAATTGAAAATTTTAAAGGGGGGTATATAGTTTTTTAAAACTGTTTTACTTTTAAGAATATTATGAAAATAGTGTGCTGGAGGACTGTAGTCAGGCTAAAGGTCTGGGGAAATAGAAGGGAGTGGATGATAAACTAGAAGTGATAGAAAGGGAGATGGATTTCAGTGGTGAGGCGAAGAGGTCAGAGATGACTTGGAGATTTCCAGCCTGGGAGCTGGGAGGTGATGCCATTTATGGAAATATGAAATCAATCAGCAGAAAAACATAAAAGATGAAGTAGGCTTAGATGGTGGGGTAGGAGAAGAATTTGGTTTGGACTTACATTTGAGGAGACCCAGGGGGAGGTGCTGACTAGACTGTTGGAGAGAGAGTTCTGGTAGACTAGATTACCTGGGAGGAGAACCGAGGGCAGGAATTAGGGATCCTGGGAGAGGTGGAGGGGGGCTCAGGGAAAGTTCGAAAGAGAAAAAGATCTCCGTAGATTAGAATAGTGGTTCCTAAGCTTGAGAACTTGTGAAAATACCAATTTGGGGGCCCCACCCCTAGAGTCTGATGGTATTTGTCTTTCTGATTGACTTTGCTTAGTATGGTAAGCTCTAGGTCTCAGATCAAATTAGAGAATTTGCTTTTCAAACAGGTTCCCATCGGATGCTGATTAAGCTGATCCAAGAACCACACTCTGAGAACTAATGGTTTAGAACATCTGCTGGAAGACCGGAGAAAGCTGAAAAGATTTGAAACTACTACCCTGGTGACAGGTGGGGTTGAAAAAGAGTCAATACTATGGTGGTGTGAGCCCAGCTGAGGTGAACACCCACAAGTTTATGGCAGGGTCAGTATGGACAAGTGGGAAATTTTTCTAGATGTTGAGAGCAAGCTTGAATGGAGAAGCTAGTGATTAGATTCATTTAGGTGGGGATACTGGTCAGGGGCTGGGGTGGGAGGCAAGGAGTCAAGAGGAATGACCAAATTGATGAGAGTTTGCCTAGAGCATGGCCTTGAACTCATCTTCCGCATCCCACGTTCTGTTGCCTGTCTTAGCAAGGACCTCTGCCTCCTTCCTAGTTGCCTGAATCCCAAATCTGAATCATTCTCACCTCCATCTGCCTCACTTTCTGCAGTTCATCCACTACCCACTCCTGCTGACCTCTAGCTTCCAAATATTCCCCCAAGTCTGCCTAACCTTTCTCCATCCTCATAGCCTCTTACCTAGTGTCAGTCCACCATCACCTTCACCTGGATTCCTCAACAGCCTCTCCGCTTGTCACTTTTCTGCATGTCTTGCTCATTCCTTCCAAAGTCAGTTCCTTCTCAGCGCTGCCAAAGTCCTCTTTCTAATATACAGATGTAAGCATTCGACATTCTTGCCTAAAACCATTCAACAGCTATCCTATTACTCTAAAGAAAAACTGATTTTTCCTTTTTAAAAAAGTTTTTATTGAAGTATAGTTGATTTACAATGTTAATTTCTTCTGTACAGCAAAGTGACTCAATTATACACACATACACACACATATATATTCTTTTTCATATCCTTTTCCATTATGATTTGTCACAGGATATTGAATATAGTTCCTTGTGTTATACGGTAGGACCTTGTTGTTTATCCATCCTATATATAATAGTTTGCTAAACCCAAACTCCCATTCCTTCCCTCTTCTACACCACCCCCCAGCCCTGCCTTGGCAGCCTTCAGTCTGTTCTGTGTATCTATGGGTCTGTTTTTGTTTCATAGATATGTTGATTTGTATTATATTTTAGATTCCACTTTATAAGTGTTATCGTATTTGTCTTTCTCTTTCTGATTGACTTTGCTTAGTATGATAATCTCTGGGTCTATCCATGTTGCTGCAAATGGCATTATTTCATGCTTTTTTATGGCTGATTAGCATCCCACTGTATATATGTACCACATCTTCTTCATCCATTCATCTGTCAATGGACATTTTAGGCTTTTCCTTGTCTTGGCTACTGTAAATAGTGCTGTGAACATAGGGGTGCATGAATCTTTTTGAGTTATAGTTTTGTCTGGGTATATGCCCAGGAGTGGGATTACAGGATCATATGGCAACTCTAGTTTTTGAGGAATCTCCATACTGTTCTCTGTAGTGGCTGTACCAATGTACATTCCCAGAAACAGTGTAAGAGGGTGTCCATATCCTCTCCAGCATATGTTGTTTGTAGACTTTTTAATGGCGGTCATTCTGACTGGTGTGAGGTGGTAGGTACCTCACTGTAGTTTTGATTTGCATTTCTAAAGAGAAACTTTTTAAAAAAAACCTCATGTATTCACTTTGGGTTGCGCTGTATCTTTGTTGCTGCGTGAGGGCTCTCTCTAGTTGTGGTGTGTGGGCTTCTCATTGTGGTTGTTCCTCTTATTTTGGAGCACAGGCTCTAGGCATGTGGGCTTCAGTAGTTGCAGTGTTTGGGCTATAAGGCACAGCCTCAGAAGTTGTGGCACACGGGCCTAGTTGCCCCATGGCATGTGAAATCTTCCCGGACCAGGGCTCGAACCTGTGTCCCCTACATTGGCAGGCAGATTCTTATCCACTGTACTACCAGGGAAGTCCCTAAAGAGAAGCTTTTTAAAGGCTCTGTTTTGATGTTCCTCCTCACTGTCCCAGCTCACCTCTTGATTCCAGCCCCCTGGATACCTCTCCCTCCATCCCTCTTTTCTCCCTTCACATTGATTTTCTGTATATGGGGATATTTTCACCTTCACGTCTTCCAGCATGTTCCTTCTGCCTGGAATCTCACTCAAAATCCAGCCTTGGTAACTCATCTTTCCAGTTTTATGCCACTTCTCCTGAGAAGTTTTCTCTGCGCTCTTGGGTTTGGGTTATATGAGCCCTTATGTTAGTGTTCATTATAGGATACACGACTACCTGTTGTTCTGTCTGCCCCACCCACTAAGTCAGACACTGGTGGGGTAGGAGCTGTCATAGGCTTGCTCTACCTCAGCACCTAGCATGGTGCCAGGATCCGAGTAGATGTGCCTTGAAGTTTTGGACCAGTCTGTGCAGGGCATCAGTGATGATAACAGACTCTGAGCCCAAATGCTCTGAGATTTAAATGCATTCTCTAGCTTTAAATTTTACCCCAGTCTGAGAATGCCATGTCTGAGTTCTAGAGGGAAGCTGACCAAAGAGACAGTGAGTCACATACTCATGCTATGAATGTTGATTTATTAGGAGGTGAGTCTTTTATTCACATAATTAAAAAAATAAGTACCTCGAAATAATGTTTTGAGATATGTTAGCATATCTCCCCTCTCCTTTCACACCTCTCACTTTGGGAAGTACTGTTGACGGAAAGTATTCCTTTGAAGAAAGCCTTTTTGATAATTGCCTTCTTAAAAACAACAGTACCAACAAAACTATGCTGACTTCAAATGCCTGAGTCCTAGATCACTCCCAAGTTATTCATGGCTAACAAGGCCTGAGGGAAGAAAGCTAAACTTTGTTTTCAAGGTTCTGTTTTAATTTTAAAAATACTGAATGATGTTCACTGTTGGCAGTTCTTTTGAAAATTCCCTTCCTCATCCCCCTCAGGTGGTTGACTGCCTTTGCGTTCTCACACAGGACTCCTGGGTGACTAGTTACCATGGTTGGAGCCCCCAGAACATTCCTGGAAAAAAACTGGCTTCCATGTTGGGTAAGGCTGTGCCTGTGGCCTGTGTATCTCCCTTGAAAGTTCTCACTCTACTCTCTGCAGAACCCAACCTCTGCTTAATAGCAACGTCTGAAAGCTGAGAAAGTATCTCCATCACCAGTTAAGTGCTTTCCCCCACCCGCCCAGGACCCCTGAGCCCCAGCAAGTCATTCTGAGGCCGACTCTGACTGGAACTTGGGTTCCTTGAGCAATGGATTGCTGTGAACACCAGTTCCCGGTCCTGTCCTTGCTCTTCAGAGGGAGTCTGGCCGTTGCTGGTGTTTCTGGCTCCCGCAGATCAGCACCTTCATTTCTCTGTGATGTCTCCAGGCTGCAACCACGAGGCTTGCTTATAGGCCACGATGCTGTAAGAATTTACAACAGAGAATTACAGGAGAACAGCTGGAATGGGGAGGGAGGGTCTCTAGCCATCTCTCGGAGACTCTGTCCATAATACGGAGAGCCCTTTGCATCTACATTTTCCCTTTCTTGGAGCCTCTTCCCATCTCACTTCCGTCTGATGATATACTCCCATATGGACCTGAAGCTCAAGCTTCACTCATCCCAAGCAGAATTAGTTGCATCCTCTTCTGCCTTTCCATTGCCCTTTTCTCTCTTCCATAAATCATTAGGTTGTTTAAAAATATTGGGAGATAAAATGGAGGCCTAGGAATGAAGAGTTATAGTTGAAGTCTTGAATCTGTGTGACCTTTGGCATGTCCTTCAACCTCTGGCGTTCTCCTTTTCCCAACTGTTTGAGCTCTAGGAACCCCAAGTTCTAAGCTGGAACACAGTTCTTCCTAATGGATGGACCACATCTGGAGCTACTGGGTGGGGTGTGGGCAGAAATCCAAATCCTTCTAAGGAAAAGCTTCGTAGAAACTTCCAAACACAGATTCCCTACCTTCTGTGAGCCCCAGGGCTCTCCAGGGAGGAGCACTCACTATTCTTAAAGCTCACTGGATGACAGAGCTGGAAGAGGCAAGCAGAGGCAGGCAGCCCAGGACCCCATGAACTGTTCCAGGCCGACTCCACAGCTCACCCCAGCCGTGGGGCCATGACTGCACAGCCAGTGGTTGGTGGATTATTTTAAGGCAGGACAAGAAAGCTTTTCAACATGAAGATTCTCTGCCCATGTGAGTAACTATCTCCTCCATTTTAGTGTGTATTGCGTGCCTACATTGTGTTAACTTGATCCCCTTAGGAGATGCAGGAATTCCTACTCGCTGGGAAGAGAAAGAGTATCTTCCTGGTGCCAGTAAGATAACTTCCCGGGAGATAACATTCCTTTCTCAATCTTGTAATAGGTCACAACCCACTGCTCACCTTGTTGGACTATGTAAACTGTCAATATGTTACTTTGGTTTGTCCCCCACCCTGGTCCATATTGGGAAATGTTTAAAAATTGAAGAATGTTACTTTATAATGTGTTTTTCCAAGTGAAAAGCAAAGTGATGTATATTCTTTTTTGGATTCTCTTCCATTATAGGTTAATAGATATTGAGTTCCCTGTGCTATACAGTAGGTCCTTGTTTACCTATTTTATATATAGTAGTGTGTATATAGGAGAAGGAGATGGCAACCCACTCCAGTATTCTTGCCTGGAGAATCCTGTGGACAGAGGAGCCTGGTGGGCTACTGTCCACAGGGTTGCACAGAGTTGGGCACAACTGAAGCGACTTAGCAGCAGCAGCAGCAGTGTGTATATGTTAATCCCAAACTCTTAATTTATCCCCCACCCTGTCCACAATACGTTGTCTCACAAACATATAACTCTTAACTGCGCCTTGGCGTCTTATAGGTAGAACACTCCTCGGAGTTTCCTGAAATAGTCTCCCTCTGGGTTATAATCCTTGGATTAGCAGGACTGAAATTTTCTATTTCTTCCTTAGGTTGACTGTTGATCAACTTTTGTTGATTATGGTGGTGGCCAACCCCTGACATCATTCCAGCTCAACAGGCAGCTCCTGGGTGGTCAGTAAGTGCTGGCGTCACACCCCCTGACAGATTGTTCATTCATGAAAGACTTTGAGTAATTCTTATGCACTAAGCCTCTCTGCTGGACACAGGGAACAAGGTCACTCAAACAGGTGTGGTGCCTGCCCTCAGGGAGCCTATGGTCTAGTGAGCAAGCGTGTAAAACAGATAATCACTAAGTAATCATCAACTCTCAGGCTCTGAAGGAAAAGTATAGGAAGCTTGGGGAGCATATCATAGAAGGATCTAACTTAGATTGGGAAGGGAATTTTCTCAAATCCTCTTTGAGAAAATGGTGTTCAACTTAAGACCACATCTAGCGATATTAAGAAAGAGGTGTGGGGTGTCAGGTTTCTCAGTGGTGAAGAATCCACCTGCCAGTGCAGGAGACACAGGTTTGATCCCTGGTCCCGGGAAGATCCCCCATGCCACGGAGCAACTAAGCCCATGAGCCACAACTACTGAGCCCATATGCCACAACTGCTGAAGCCCGCATGACCTAGAACCTGTACCCTGTGACGAAAGAAGCCACGGCAGTGAGAAGCCCCTGCAGGAGCGAAGATCCAGCCTAGCCAAAAAAAAAAAGACGTGGGTAAGGAAGGGGGAAGGGCATGAGGGGGAGGCTCCTGGGGCTGAAGCATAGAGCCGGGAGGGTGGTGAATGGGAGGAATAGGAGGCTGGAGAAGATGGTGAGGCTGGATTATGCAGGACCTGTTGTCCACCATAAGAGGTCCACCATATGTGGTCCACCATATGCAGGACCTGTGGGGCCACCACAGTGGCTCTCATCCTAAGAACCGTGAAACCAAGTACAGAGCTTTGAATAGGAGATGATGTGAACTTATGTTCACTGTAAAGAAATTTCTCTGGCCACCTGGTAAAAAGAGGGGGGATGGATGTGGGGAGACTGGCTCAGGGGTGAAGTTGATCCCCCACGTGCTTTGGACTAGGGGTAGCAGCAGTGGGGGTAAAAAATAATCAGTTTGAGGCATATATTGGAGGTAGAATCAATGAGGCTTGATGGATGGGAGGTACGGGAAGATGAAGAAGCAGGAGGACTTTGGTGACTCTCAGATTTCTTCCCTGGCTGAGTGTGATGCCGTTTAATGGGATGGGCAAGACTGGAGGGGAGCAGATGTTAGGAGGGCGTCAAGGATGCAATTTTGGAAACTGAGATGGTAATTTGAAATTTTGAAAATAATTTAGATTGCTTTGAGATTATGAAGTGAGAAGACAACCCAGATCTGAGCCCCAAAGAATTCTTCCATGTAGAGATTTGTAGAGAAGTCAGAGAGGTAGGAGAAGGAGGTAGAGGTTAGGGAGAGGAGGTGTTAAGAAAGCCAAGTGACAAATGCCTTCCAAGGAAGGAGTGACCCACAGTGTAGGGGGCCACTGAGAACCGATGGGGAGAGGATGGCAGGGAGTCCAATGTATTCAGCTGTGAGGAAGTCAGATCTCAGCGCAGCCCTGGAGGCACTGAACAGGGAAGTCAGTCTGGAGTGGGTTGAAAGTGAATGGGAAGTAAGCAAGTGCAGACCTGCACCGGAAAACATGGCTGGGGGGAGGAGGAGGCGAGAGGGTGGCAGACCACGTGTCAGTTCTGATAGGAAGAACTCAGGAGACGGAGTTGCTAAGTAGCACAAGTAAACTCAAGTAGCTTCCCTCGTAGCTCAATTGGAAGAGAATCTGCCTGCAATACTGGAGACCCAGGTTCAATTCCTAGGGGTTGGGAATATCCCCTGGAGAAGGAAATGGCAACCCACTCCAGTATTCTTGCCTGGAGAATCCTATGGACAGAGGAGCCTGGCAGGCTACAGTCCATGGGGTTGCAAGAGTCAAACATGACTTAGCCACTAAAACACACAAGTAAACTCAAAGGGGAGAGAGGGGTCCCAGATACCCAGGGACTTTTCTGAGACCCAACATCAAATAGTGTCTCAAAGACACTATAATAATGTCAAAAAGAACCAACTGCCTGGGTTCACATCCTGTCACTGCTCCTTATTAACTCTGTAACCTTTGGCAAGTTACATAACACCTTAGATTTTGTTTCTTCATCTGCAAAATGGGGATAAAATAGTAATTGCTTCAGAGGATTGTTTGAGAAGGTTAAAACATATGAAACATTCAAAGTAGTGCCTGGCACATAATCAAGGCTGTTTACATGTCTGCTATTATCTTTGAGAGATTGAGGGAGGGGAACAGGATGGGTGCGAAAGAACACAGGCTTAGAGGTCTGCTTTGAAGATGAGCCCATTTGCTTCTGATGGCCTCCATGAACCACAACGCAGCAGCTGAGTGCCTGTGTGATGGGGGTTGGGGGCTTGCGGATGGGCAGAACCAGACAGACATTCCCTCAGCATCTCCCTGCGGCACATAAAGAAGAGTGAGGAGGAGAGGGCAGGTTCTCACAGTGCCATGGAGTTGGCTCACTTCGGTACTAAGAAGGGCTGGGGCCACAGTCACTTATTGCAAATGAGCTGTTGGCAGCTGGGCCCAGGAACCTCTCCTCTCCACCTTCTGCCCTCCACAGCTGCCTCCACTCCCTGCTGTGACATGTCTTCCTGGGCTTTTCTGTCATTGGAATGTAGCTCTTCTTTCTGCAGTTCAAGAGTTCTACTGGTCTTTCCTGTTGATCGTGCTTAATGATCGGTGGTGCAGCCTTGGCCGCTTGAAAGAATTTTTCAGGATTTTGTTCATTTAGTGACTTTGCAGAGGGAAAAGTACTAGAAACATTCCTTTTCTACCAAAGGTTCTCAGCCTTGGTTATACATCCGAATAAACTGGAGAGCTTTAAAAAATTCCTATGCCCAGGCTGTATCCCAGATCAACTGAGTTAGAATCTCCATGGGTAGGATCCATACGGTAGTAGTTTTTTAAATCTCTCCAAGTGATTCCAATGTACAGCAGACAAAGGAGGCTTTGTTAGCACATGAGTCCCTCTACTGCTAAATGTCTCCAACAGAGGCATCTACTTGAGTGCCTCAGTTCACGTAAGCATTACTACTTACGATTGGTTCAAGATACTGACCCGATTTCTTTGGTATAAGATGATGAAAATCCTGTATATCTTAAAATTCCATGCACACAATGTAGGACTGGGCCCAAGTCCATTGGGGTGAGGTGTCCCCACCTGCTTCACATACCCCAAAGTCTCTTTAAAAAGGGAAAGCAATGAAACTGTAGAAAGGAACCATTTATTGCATATTCTCATTGCTTTCATTTGTCTGTTTATACCTCTAGCTATGAGATATTAACTAGTCTAGTCAGACTTGTTTTCTTTTGTTGTTTTTTGTTGATCTGTTTAGGTCAAAGAGACTATCTCAACCAACTGCCAATCAGATAGGACTGGGTAACTTCCAAGTGGCACAGTTATTAATCCATTACTCACTTGGACAAAGAGCTGGCACTCCAGAGAATTGTGGGTCATATCTAGCTAAGCCCAACCCATTCAGCCAAGACACTCATGAAAATAGGGGAACATGAAAAGGCCTAAGGGCTGGGCAGTTTGAAAATGAAAACTGGCCAGAGACGGCACTGGTAATCAAGTCTGCTGTTTTGCACAAATTCTCTCAGCTGTTTGATCTTATTTTCTCAACTATGAAATCAAAGAACTCTCATGATTGATGGCTTCTGTCTTAGGAGGCTCAACTTTCTATGCAAGCACATCAACCTATACAATGTGATGTGAGAAGTCAAAAGCGGCCCTTTTCACCATCCGCTTCCCACTTTTTCCAACCTCCCTTCAGCTTTTTCCAACCTGCCTTCAACTCTTATACTCTGCACCCTGTAACACCACCATTAATGATATGGAGGGCTCCAATGTGCTACTAAGCAGGTCCCTTTAAATGCAAATCTATATCATGTCCCTTGTATCTTACTGTGAATATCTTTATTGCGTTCCTTTCTCCTCTAGTGGGATTGATACAAGCGTGAGAAAAGGGCCTAAACAGACCAAAGCTCAGCTGTCTAATATGTAGCCACTAGTTAACATTGGTTTCTGAACTCTTGCATTCAAATAGAGTCCAAGTTGAGATGTGCTGTGAGTATAAAACACATACCAGATTTCAGAGACTTAATTCAAAAGAACTCATTGATTTTGTAGGTTGATTACAAAGATATTTTGGAGCTGTTGGGCCAAATCAAATATATTATTAAAATTATTTCACCTGTTACTCATGTTGTTTTTATTATTTTTATTTATTTTTTTTATTGTTTTACTCATGTTGTTTTTAAACGTGGCTACTAGAAAACTTAAAATCATATAATATGGCTTGTGCTTGTGTTTTTGCATTTCTTTTGAATGGGGCTGGTTGAAGACCAGTCTATTTCATGTGGTCCATATTGGTGATAACCTCAGCTGGCAACTTTCCCCATGGGCCTTTGTATCTCCAGCCTTCCTCCTGCCTGTTATCTCCCAGAACCTAAGCACTCTTGTTTTACAAATGAGACAATTTCCCCAGAGAGGTCAGAGGCATTACCCTTGTCCTGCAGAGGTGCTCAAAGCCCTCCCAAGATACAGAGAAGAAAGAATACTTGAAAGTGAGGCTGGATGACTGTCACCTAAAGAAGACTCAAGGAGGTCTGAGTGATTCAAGAGGGTTTCTCATCCCAGCCTCTGATGACAAGAAAGTATATGAGGCTCCTATTACAAAACTGCCAGGAAGTGAGCCAGCGTGTTGAGGCCCTCTGTTTATGACTTAAGGGAATTCCCAAATTACCAGATTACTAGTTTGGGAGAACAGGAGAAGTTTTTCTTAGTGGGAGAGGCTACTCAGAACCCATTGTGTAAATGTGAAAAGTAAATACTTTACGATAATAGGCTGGAAATGCTCCAACAGTCCTTGACCTCAGCCCCAGCCCAGAGAGCAGGAACTGCTCCTGTCTTACCCAATCGGGAGGATGGCCAGGAAGGAGAAAAAAGAGGAGAGCGCAAAGCAGGTGCCGATGAACTTCTCCAAGGTGAGCTGATAGATCTTGTTGTACAGGGTGGATGTCACCACCCCAGTCAGCGTCAGGGACAGCTGCAGGATGACGAACACCTTTCCTGTGGAAGGGACCAAGGTTACCAAGGTTACTGTGCTGTCCCTCCGTGTTCCCTGATAGCTGAGTCTCTGGGAGGCTCTCCAGAGCCCCCTCCCCTTCCCTGACTCCCTCTGTGTTCACAGCTCATGTTACCAGGATTCTGGCCTCCATCCATTTGGCTCTTCCCATAGCCCGGGGGTGGCAGTATTTTCCTTTGTGGCTTTTCAGTGGCAGGCCCTCCCAGTCTCTCCTCTGCTCCTGCTCTCACCCCTTCCGCCCTGGATGGACACTAGTGTCTGCCGTGTCTGCAAGGAGCTGCTGGAGCTCTCTCCTGTGCCTTCTGCCAGTCCAAACCCTGTGCCTCAAACCAAGTGGCTCTGAAACCTCTGATTCCTTTCACTCACCGTAAGAGGAACCCTTGATGAGTTTGGACATTGCTGATCGGATGGTTGTGATGGGGATGAGAGCGAAGAGCATGATGGCCCGAGCTGGAAAAGAAGCACATGAGAACACTCCTCACTGGAGCCCAGCCTTGGCCAAAGAGTAAATCAGAATAACAGAAAAACCTCCCTTAGAAGCCCCCTCCCACAATCCTTTCCCAGGGAAGACTGACTCCCTGAGCTCTCGGATGGAGCTGTAGATGCTGCAGACCCATCTTGAAGGTGGCAAGGCACCGGGGACATGGTGACAGGTGGTGAAGGGCGTCTTTATTGGCAGAGTTAAGTGGTTTCTAGGGAAATGGAGCTGATGTCACTCAAGTGACTTACAGCTCCTTGCCTCCCAGGAGGGAGGTGTCTGCCCTCACCCTTCATCATCATCTCTGGGACGTAGTCCCAGTAGCTTTGGCAAACTGCATCCAGAAACGTGTGACTAACACAGCTGCCTCACCCCCTCTTTCCCTCTACCCCTGTTCATCATCCTGATGTGGGGGTGTGGGGGTGTGTGTGGGGGTGTGGCAGGGGTGAGGGGGTGGGGTGGGTGGGGTGGGAGAGGCTAGAAGTGGTGCAGAAGGAAGGGGAGAAGCTACTCAAGCCCTTGCACTTGGCCTGTTTAACTGGGAGCTGGCTAAAAGTAATCTAACCATTTTTTGAGATGTTTTTCTGAGCCGTGTGACCTCAGTCAAAGGGTGGTCTCTGAGAACAGTCTAGAGTTGTTCCATTAGCCACTAGCCAGTCACATGACTACTTAAACGAAATAAAATGAAAATTTCTGTTCTAGGTGCACTAGCCACATTTCAAGGGCTTGATAGCCACACATGGCTAATGGCTAATTGTATTAGGTGGAAACATTACAGAACATTGCTATCACTCTAGAAAGTTCTGGTCCAGAAAGCACACTGGTCCAGAGTGCTCTGCTTGCAGTTGTCTGTGTCCTCAGAAACTTCATTCTGCTTCCTTGAGGGAATGTATATTGGTTGTGGAAGGCATTTATGGAGAATTTTTATCTCTCTTTGAAAAGCCTGTGCTTGACCTGAAATAATTTTAATTAAAGGACCTTTTCAGCTGTATTACTTGAAAATGTTTTATCCCTTTAAAATCGGGGAGAAGAAACTCAACCCCATCTCTTCCACTCAGGGCCATCCTGAAGCCTCTCCTGACTCCCGGCACCACTGACCATCCCTCCCTTGACTTCCTAGAGCTACGGCCCCCACTCTGATTACATCTCAGTGGGCAACACAGATAACACAATATAGACAGACTCAAGTGCGCATAATCCTGTGTGCCTCCTAGGTAGCAGACATAATCTCTGGTGCTGAGCTGTGACAGACCACAGCACCTCAGGTGTGTGTCCCATTACTTAGGGGATCAGCACTGTCCTCGTCCTGCCTCCCCAAGAATGCCAGACTCACCAATGTAGAACATGTATGTCTCTTTCACAAAAGCCAAGAGGAGGGCTCCTGACGCAAAGGAGACCATTCCAATCATGATCATGGTGGTGTCCTGGAAGTAGCGGGAGAAGATCAGCACGCCCAGGAAGCTGGTGATGAAGATGGTGTACCCCGAAGCCATACCATAGCCCACCTGCACTTGGTTCCAACTCAGAGGCTCCCTCAGCACAAAAAGCGGCATCACGTCCACTGTGCCCACCACGGCCAGGTCATAGATGATGGCGCCCACAAAGAGCAGGGCAAGGATGATTTGTTTGGGCTTAGCCATTGCAGGAGGTGAAGGGGGCCCCACCACACTCTGCTTGTCTGTCTGATCAGGGTCCAGGGTGTCATACCGGCCGACGGTGCCGGGCACTATATCCACGGCCTTGCGGGGCTTGGCCTCGGACTCGGGGACCTTCAGCACGAACAAACTGTACAAAAGGGCACAGGTGGCACAGCTTACGCTGCAGGCGGTCAGCACCAGGCCCTGCTTGGAGTGCCCGATCATCTGCTTGAAGAGATGTCCCGAAACCATGCTCCCGCAGAACCCCGCCAAGCCTAGGATCAGGTCGATCACAATGAGGCGCAGGGAGCGGCGGCCCTCGGAGGAGCCGAGGGATCCCAGGGCCATGACCCCCGACCAGAAGGCGGAGAAGCCGCCGCACAGTCCCGTCAGCGCGGCCGCTGCGTACAGCATCTCCACGGGCCAGTCCAGCAGCACTTTGAGCAGCAGCGTGAGGCGGGAGAGCAGGAAGCCCAGCAGGGGCACGCAGATGGAGACCTTGCGGTGGTAGCGGTCGCTGAGCCAGCCCAGCCCGTAGGCCGACAGCAGGGGCGTCAGGCCCATCACCAGGTTGTAGATGATGTAGAAATTGGAGATGGCCCTCTGCTGTTGGTCCTCGAGAGCCCCCCGGGGCGACGGGCTGGAGCTGTGATTGGAGAAGGTCTCGACTCCGAAGGACGCTTTCACCACGAGGAGCAGCCCCGCGTCGTAGAGGGAGGCGGCCACCTGCGTGGAGGCCACCACGGGCTCGATCCAGGTCCACACCTGGAGGCGAGGCAGGGGGCCGCTCCACGGGCAGATGTTCCCCTGGCCCATGATAGGGTCTCTGACAGCGGGATGGAGGAGCTGGCCGGCTGGCGCTGCGGCTGCTATTCCCGAGGGCTGGGGCTCCGGGTACGCGCGGGAAACTGGTGAGCTGAGCTGAACCGAGCACAGGGCGTAAGTGACAGCAGCCAGCACTGCGGTCCAGTGACCTCCCGGACCGCGGCCACACCTCCCCGGACCAAAAAAGGCCACGCTCCGCCCCCGCCGGGGCAGCGGGCCTGGCAGCCGCCCAGGGAAGCCACGCGTCCGGGGAGCGCACAGCGAGTCCCGGCCCGCGTCACGCTGCTCCGATCCGCGCTCAGGTCGCTCCCCTGGGACTTGCCCAGGCCTGGCTTGAGTCCCCGGGGCAGGAAGCAAAATTTTGGCCCTGAAAGGCAGTTTGGAGTAAGCAGTGGGGTGCCTCGGAATCCGCCTGGGATTCAGTGGAGGGGAAGGGCAGTGAGGTTTTATTTAAGGGGTTCAAAAGTAACGGGGACCTACATGCTGTAGGGAGCCCGCGTAGCGCCAGACTTCGAGAGAAACAAACCAACCCTCAAGAACGCTATTCTCTCTTTGATTTCAATCTTGTAGATAAATACCTAGCCGCGGGATTGCTGGGTCATAGGGTAGTTCTGCTTTCATTTTTTTGAGGAAACTTCATTTTCCGTTGAACCCGCCCCACTTTCCTTTCACAGCAATAGTGCGCAAGGGCTCCAGGGTCTTCGGCCTCACCAGCACCCCTGTATCTATTCTGGTAGAGCCATCCAGAGAGGAATCAGGTGATACCTCATTGTGGTTTTGATTTGCATTGCCCCGACAATTAGCGTGTCTTTTCACATGCATGTTGGCCATTTGTATCTCTTCTTTGGAGAAATCTCTTTCCAAAGACTTTTTTTTTTTTTGGTCTAAGTTATTAGCACATTTTTGTTTTACGACTGAATTGTAGGAATTCTTACACATTTTGGAGATTATCTTCCTTTCAGATATGTGATGTGCACTATTTTTCTCCCATTCTGTAGATTGGTGTTTTTTTTTTTTAAAATAGGAAGGAAATCAAAGTATACTTTACATTTTATTTATTTATTTTTAAATCTTTATTTATTTGGCTGTGTTGGGTCTTAGTTGTAGCATGCTTAGTCTTCATTGCGGCATGTGGGATCTTGTTCCCTGACCAGGGATCGAATCCAGGCCTCCTGCATTGGGAGGTCTGAGTCTGATCCACTGGACCACCAGGGAAATCCCTAGATTGCCTTTTGACTCTGTTGATTTTTTGTTTTGCTGTGCAGAAGCTTTTTAGCTTGATGTCGTCTCACTTGTTTATTTTTAGGTTCTTGAAGAGAGATTAGTACTCCTGTAGCACTATTCACAATAGCTAAGATATAGAAGCAACCTAAATGTGTATTAATGGATGAGTGGGAAAATAACATGTGGTATATAAATATAGCTGAATGTTATTTGGCCTTTAAGAAGAAGGTGGTCCAGTGGTTAAGAATCTGCTTTGCAATGCAGGGGACGAAGCTTCAATCCCTGGTCAGAGAACCAAGATCCCACCCACTGAGGAGCAACTGAGCCTGTGTGTGCCGCAAAAAGAGTCTGGGCACCGCAACAAAGATCTTGCATGACCCAGTGAAGAACCTGCATGCCACAACTAAAATCCAATGCAGCCAATAAATAAATAAATAAATATTTTTTTAAAAAGAAAGGAATCCTGATTTGTGGATTCAACATGGATCAAACCTGAAGACATTATGCTAAGTGAAATAAGCCAGTTGTAGGAAGACAAATACTGCATGATTTCCCATATGAGGTACCTAAAATCATCAGAGTGGAATGGTGGTTGCCAGGGATGGGGGTGGAGGGAAGAAGAAATGGGGAATTACTAATAAACAAGCATAAAGTTTCAGTTAAGCTAAATACAGAAGCTCCAGAGATCTGCTGTACAACATTGTATTTATAGTCAATAACATTATACATGTAAAGGTTTGTTAAGAGAGGAGCTCTCATGTTAAGTATTCTTACCATAATTAAAAAAAAAAAACCACACCAAAAACCTCAGGAGAAGCTATGCTTAGCCCTTCCTTCATACCAAAGACCTCTCAGAGAAGAGTCCTGCTTTGAACACCTGAATTAATGGGCCCGGAGCCAGGATAGGACCCAGGCCAGCATAGATCCCAGCCTGGAGCTTTGGCCTCAAATCACAGGACTGAAAAAGAGAGGGGGAGGTCCTGTCAGCCCAGCATGTCCCTACAAATGCTAAAACTGGACTCTGGCAGGGGCAGATTCCACAAAAAGAGTCACCAGGATTATTTGCTTCTGAGTAAATTCCCCGGGACCCTTTTTCTTTTCTTTGCAGTTCTTCCATTTCATGGGCTCACTGCCTTGGACTAAGTGGAGATGGGTTTCCCTGTCTGCCTTGCTTTCTGTACACACTCCTGCAAAGAGGACCAGGGTGGTTGGTGGTGCAGGGGCAAAGGTGCACCACAGACAGCAACATTTCTTCTTCGGGATCATCCCCAGGGGTGGAAAGTCAAAACACTCCAGCTCTCTCCCTGTCTGCTTAACCCTGACCCAGCGCAGGCAAGCAGGAACCTGAAATCATATAAGGGACAATCAGATCTGCACGGAGAGTTTATAAAGTCAAAAGGATAACGTACCTGTGGGAGTAGGGGCTAAACTCTAAATGATCTCATGTAGATGTGCACCCTTCAGACAGTTTTTAGATGAGCTATAATCTTCTCTACCCCTCCCTGTGTACAGGTCCAGTCAGCTCTGCCTTCTACAAAGAGAACGTCCCACCTCATCTCCCTGACAAGCCGGGCAGTCCCTCAAAACTCCCACACTGCCCTCTTGCACTCCATCACGGAGGCCGACCTTGGGAGGAGCTGGTTTCACCCAACCCATGCCTAGCTCTCCCACTCCATTCTTAACCCTGTTCTTCCAGAGGCCACAACAAACAAAGCAGTCCAAGCAGCCTGTACCTGTAATGGGCACAGGCTCCAGGGGATGGATAGCTTGTGGAGGAAGATGGTATTCACCCATCAGATATGGCCACCAGAACAACAGCTTGGACCAGATGGATCACTTTAGCGATTTAATCAGGAGGTCTGTCTTTTCTTGGGGTCACAGAGCCTAGAAGACAGCCCTAGAGGTCTGGGAGGGTCCATGGGGTCTCACTTCTTCCCATACTTTGTGAAACCAGGGAAATTTGAGGGGCCTCTGAGAGATTCATGCCCAGTCCAGGACACATTTAGTGGTAGCTGTGTCATCATGGTGCCAGCCCTGGGACCTGAATTCTCTGGCCCAGAAGTGAACTATTATCAGGGCAGTTGGCACCTCTCCCAGTTTAGGCTACTGAGGTTCGCATTGTATTTTTCATCATATCCCACTCCTCCCTCCGTCTCTGAAGCAGGCTCTAGCCGGGTGACTGCCTGGCTGTCCTGTGTCGTCTCGGCTACCAGCAAGTATGGCCCTTAAGCCAAGTTGCGGCCTGACCCTGCCGCTTTAGTCTCTAGCACAAGTCTGGCTTTATTCAACTGCAAAGGTTAAATTCTCACTTTTTTGCATTGATAAAGTCACACTATTTGAGGAGAAAGGGACTTGTAAAAAGGAGCAGCAACATTTACTGAGCCTGTATTATGTACTAAGCAATTTACAGGGGCTTCCCCAGGGGCTCAGTGGCAAAGAATCCATCTGCCAATGCAAGAGACAAAAGAGATGTGAGTTCGATCCCTGGGTTGGGAAGATCCCCTGAAGCAGGAAATAGCAACCCACTCCAGTATACTTGCCTGGGAAATCCCATGGACAGAGGAGCCTGGTGGGCTACAGTCCATGGGGTCGCAGAGTCGGACTAAAGTGACTGAGCACATCCAAAGCAATCTACAGGAATAAATTTCATCCCCCACCCCCCACCAAATGTCTATAAACTAGTTTATCACCTCATCTTATTGGTGGAGAAACTGAGGCCAGAGAGGTGAAGTTATTCACACAAGATCACACAGCTCGGAATTTGGGGAGCCAGCATTTAGCACTTGTCTTTGAAAGCCTGTAGCTATGGGGAATATATGGTGACAGGGAATGTTATTTGAGGCATCCTCCCAACCAGCGCAGGAATGTGGAGAGGAGCAGGAACACTTAAGTCATGAGGAAACCTTTCTTGATCAACAATGTATTGCACAAATGGAGAGGACTCAGAGGAGCGGATGAAATGTATTGATTGAATGTGTATCCCAGGCACTTCTCAACCAAACAGGACATCTGTTTTCTCCACAGACGGCCCCCAAAGAAAGGAACAGTCAGTCGTTGTTTGGAAAATGCCTTGGGTTGTTTAGAAGGTGAAATCCCCAGGCCTGGGTTTCAGCTGTGGAGGAGGCACCAGAGAGGGGGTGGAGCCTCTGTGCCTGAGTCAGGAGAGCAACTGCGGCTGCTCCCGAGGGAGGGGGCGTGGTGGGGAGGGGGAGGGGAGGGGGAGGGGAGGGGGAGGGGAGGGGGCGGGGAGCGGCGGGGAGCGGAGGGGAGGGGGAGGGGAGGGGGAGGGGAGGGGAGGGGGCGGGGAGCGGAGGGGAGGGGGAGGGGAGGGGGAGGGGAGGGGGAGGGGAGGGGGAGGGGAGGGGGCGGGGAGCGGAGGTCGGGAGGTAGACAGGAGGTGTGGGGAAGTGATAGTCCTGTCTGTTGAGAACAGGAACTCCCCTGTCCCAGCGGTCAGAGGAACTTTAATAAAAGAAGAAGATCTAACAGGGCTTTAAAGAGCTCCTGTGTGTGTGTGAATGCTTCCTGAGACCTCACCCGCGCCTCGCTGGTTCTACAGAAAAGTCTACTCGTTAATGTATTGTCTGAGGAGGATTTTTTTACTTTGGTGGAGGGTTAAGGAGCTGTGTTTCAAGTCTGGATTAACGTAACTCTGGGCAGAAATCACAAGAGCAGAAAGAGACCATAGGAACAGCAGTCTCCCAAGGACTGGCTGTAATCTGGGATGGGCTTGTCACAGGCTGTGGACTGCGGGAGTTAAGCCGTCT